TTATCTTACATCCCCTGCTGATTACTTCACCCCGTCCTGAATCATATCAACAATATAAATTAAAGATGGGAGAGCTAAGTTATTTTCTCGCCATCTGTTGCAGCCATGACAGTGTCGACAGGTTCGTACACAGTCAGTCCTCAGGGGGCTTTACATCCTTTATTGTGTTTATTCATTACTTCCAGGTGATTAAACTTTAAGATATTTGATTAAACATTCGTAATATTATTAATTGTCGCTATTCAATCTACAGATAGGTAAATATTTATTTTTATGCTGGGTCCTTGACGCTGATTGGTTAAGTTACAGTGGAGTCATATCAGAACAACGCTTTCATTGGTCAAGTTACAATAACGTCATATCAAAACAAAGCTTTTATTGGTTAAGTTACAATGACGTCATATCAGAATAACGCTTTCATTGGGTATATCACACTGTGTACTGTACAACATCGTTACCAGGAATTGTGCACCTTCCACACAGATCACTACATCATCACCAAATGAATTATCATCGACCATAAACTTAAACACCTCAAGTCACCATGATTCACCATCCATGCCAGACAAGAACACAAATTTGTCTCACTCCACTAAGATCTGTTCTAACGACACGTAGCAACATTCTCAGCGTCTAAGATTCCATGATTGGGATTTTTACTGGCGATCCTGTGTTCATTGTATAAGTTACCGGAGTCTGGTAATGTTCTCAGGGGATTATTCACTCAACATTAACAATAAACAGATTCTCACATAACTCAAGATGTACTGACAGTCGGCAGAGCTCAAGGTTTACATATAATTAATTTCATAATCGTAGAAACAATATATGAATAAAGATGAAGGAAGCAAACTGTAATAACTGCAGCAATAGTCTGTTCAAATTCCTCCTGTAGATACCGAGACTTTCAGGAGGGGTGGTGGTTATATGTCAGACAGCGAGCAATGTTCCTGATAGTGTTTGAAAAATACTTGTTGATTACCGCCATCTATCGACGACGCCTCTCCCTAACGTTAAGAGGATGAGAGCTGCTGGTGGGTGGGTCGAGGTGAAGTTCAGAGGTATCTCGAAGAACAGGTCGTCTGGAGGAGGAGCCAAGTAGGATCACCTGAAGATTAGTAGTCCCTCTTAGTTTATTTCACTTGATGATTAAACTTCTTAACGCTACCTGTGGAGAGGGGGTCTAGGTTAGGTTAGGGTGGTTAATCTTAAAGTGAAGTAAACCGAGGGAACTAATCTTCAGGTGATAAGATTCTTGTATAATGTTAAGATTCTAGCCTCCGAGATCTTTCCACGTCCACACCTGAGGGGATTTATCTCAGTTTATTGCCACCTGACCTAATTCTCACTTTAACACATTTCCAGAACAAATATTTTTTCTTATCTGTGGAACTTAATAAAAGACAGTTAACATACATCTTAGTCTTACTGTGGAATCCCTCAAGGCTGGGTTTTGTTCATCTAAATTTTGGCTTTTGAAGAATCTATAAGGAAAAAAAAAAGGCTACTGCTGGAACATCTGGTACTTCAAACGCGGTGAGGTAAAGGATGTCACACGCGAGTCTTCTCTTTAACCACAACAAAGTGTACAGGAAGTGTATCTCAAAGGCACTGATCCATCACCAAATAAAACTTATGATCATCTCGGCTTTTCCCCTTCACTCGCCTCAACACGTACAGCCTGGGGGGTGATGTGAGAGCCGGAGTACGTTTCAGCCTTACACCGAGATACGCTCCATGGACTCGGGTACCCTTTCTACCCAACACCTGCCAGCCTAAGGGAAATGTTCACCTGGTAGGAGGAGAGTGAAGCCTTTATCCCATGTTTTGTTGATAATTTACTCCTGGTAAATGTATACACAGATAGGTAGAGACAGGACACCAGGAAGACACGAGGTACTGGATTGGACTAGAAAGTGTGACCCGGAAGGAAGGCGAGTCAGTCAGTCCACCACACCCAAAAGTAGACGTCCCCGCTGCTACTAGTGACGCCTGAGATATGATCAGTGGGACTGCTGTGTCACTACTGGTATAGCCCATTGTCGCTCTCTCTCTCTCCTTCTGACATATATTCTTTCTCACTCTCTTTATCTCTGTCTCTTCTACCTCTCGCTTTCTACACTTCCCTTACACTAGTCTACCTTACCATATATATTACACCCTGGACACTGAACAGTAATGAGCTTCTTTTGATGACGTCTTTGGCGGTCGTGACGAGCGTGTCATCCATTAAAGTCTTGACAGGTAAAACCAGCAGCTCATACCGTCGATTGTCTACGTCACGCAGGTAACATTAGTATGCAGTGTATTCTGGGGCGTCAGGTGAAGAGCGATGGTGATATGTAAAGCGTGTGTGGTCCAGGTGGGTCCCTGTTGGGGAGTATGGGAAGGTGAGGAGGAGGTCCCCGGCGGCGTGGTGGGACCTTCCAGCTTGGAGCCAGCCTGGTACAGTGTGACTCTGATGGCGCTATTGGTGTTATTGTCCAGTTGGGTTGTTTGGGAACCTTTGTGGGTGTTGGTGACCCTTGAGCTCCTCGCTGTACCTGAGGTGTTGTGCTCTGGGGGAACTTCACCCATTGCCTGTAGCAGCTGGTGATGGTAGGTACACTGGTAAAGGTAGTGTGTGAAGCTCTGTTGACTCTGGGAATGTCAAGTGCGTGTCTTAGTCTCAATTGTCTGTCGTCCATTGATGAAATTTTTCAAGCATGAACATAAGAACACCATTTATATTCGCTTAACTTCAGGCTGTTTTATGTTAAGTCTCAACTACATTAAGAACAAGACTCACGTGAAGTAAATTTAAGTTACTGTTAATCAGAAATAAATGTTTATAAGTGAAACACAAACCTAACCTAACCTAAAAGACATCAGTTGGTAATGTTAATCGGACAAATTAAGTCTTCCATCACCAGCCTCCACGCTGAAGGTATCATTAAAACACAACTTCAGGTACAGGTGCGTGTTTGTGTACAGTGCATCCTCCTCCTGGCTCCCTCATCAAACAAAACAAACAGACAATATTTTCCTAGTTCTACCAAAACAAGAAAACAAAATAAACACTCGGGTCGGGTCGGGCCGGGTCGGGTCGGGTCGGGTCGGGGCCGATGAGGAATGGGACCCATTTCATGTGCAACTGGTAATAAAAACCCTTGCTACTGGTACTGGTGTTGGCTACTGGTGAGCTGAGACAGACATTCCTCGGTGCCCCCAGGTGGTAATTAGCAGTACTCTCTCTGTACCCTGACCTGATGGTGCGTGTCTGATACTTGTTTCCTCTCCCCATCCATAGTTTCACCTGGTGTCAGTGTTGTCTCCATAAAACTACACGTGAAAGTTGCTTCAGTGATTTAGTTTTGAAGATTAAGATTTCTCACAAGACAACGTGTAGCTACAGTGATGCCCAACTCGTTTTATTCATCAACAATAATGGAGCTTTGAAGACCACACCTACGGTACCTAATTCATGTTTTCAGGCCATCATTCTTCATTGTTGTTGTCTCGTAGTTCCTAGTAACACCGCTCAAGTTTTGTGGCGCTGTTAACGATCAGATAGTAGAGTGGTAGATAGAGTTCGGCCAACTTGGTGACATCATGCAGTTGATGAAGAAGTTTGCGTTCGTACTGTAGATGATGATGATGATGATGGTGATGATGATGATGATGATGATGGTGATGATGATGATGATGATGATGATGATGATGATGATGATGAGAGACATAACTTTCTATCGTAAATTATTCTTCAACGTTGTATTAAGCTTTTAACATGATATATAGTGTATTTATATCACGCCTCATTACCACCACTCCTCAACCCGGACTTCACCCGTGAGAAGCTGGAGTACTACCCACAGACTACAGACCACAGAACACAAACTGGCATTTCAATCAATTTCTAGTTCGACTCATCGTAGCCTGAGTATCATGCTGAGGGTCCAGGTTCAGTCCTTGCTTGTGATGGTTAGGTTAGGTTAGGTTAGGGAGGAGTCAGTAAAGGTCACTTGTTCATTCCTCTTGAACAGATATAGTGAAGTATAACATAATAAATAATCTGATAAAGGGAACAAAGGAACATATACAAATTTGTTTATTATCTTCAGGTATAACTCAGAACAGAGAAGCTCTATCTCGCTGACCTCTTGATAACATTGTTTAACTAATACTATTGTCTATTAACTTCTGAGAGGAGAAAGAATAAGGAGAGAGAGAAAAATTGCAATAAAAGAGAAATCAATCGAAACAGGAGTAGAAGAAATATTGATAACAGGAGAAAATAGAGAAGGAGAAACACACAATAAGTAAAACAAGACGAAAAGAACAATTGATAAAAGAATAACAATAGTATCAGATGTAAAGAAGAACAAGAACAAATGAAGCCTTATGGTGCCAGGTATTGTGTTGCAGATATTGTTTTGAGATTGGTGTAGTGTTTCTGTTGTGTGTTGATGTGGTGTGTTGATGTGGTGTGATGATGTGGTGTGATGACGTGGTGTGATGACATGGTAACTTGTGCAGGAGTGAACGAGAAATTATAACTGAACGGTATAAACTTATTCCTTATTGAGTTTATGCTTTAGGTTAGGTTAGGTTAGGTTAGGTTAGGGTAGGTTAGGGTAGGCTAGGGTTAGGTTAGGTTAGGTTAGGTTAGGTTAGGTTAGGTTAGGGTAGGGTAGGTTAGGTTAGGTTAGGTCCATGACTACTGTAGAATATTTAACTCCTTTGGGATATAAAATTAACTTAACGTCTTTTTTCCAGTTTAAGAAGATAATTACTGCATTTATAACCGCGAAATTAACACATCCTCTCTCTGGTCTCTTGGAACCTCCATATAAACAACTGCAACAGAAATCCACCTTCATATACGCTTGAGTAGCCATCTGGGGTAGAGGTAATTACTATAGCCAGGTAATCTATATTTATGTGGCAGATCCCGGGTGTTAGTGAGAGCTACACGACACGACGCGACGCCCTGGACCCACCAACGCCTGGAGCCCCGTTGGTCAAGACTGGGTATAATGGTAGTCGTGCTTGTCCTCACAGTGATGGTAGTCGTTCTTGTCCTCACAGTGATGGTAGTCGTGCTTGTCCTCACAGTGATGGTAGTCGTGCTTGTCCTCACAGTGATGGTAGTCGTTCTTGTCCTCACAGTGATGGTAGTCGTGCTTGTCCTCACAGTGATGGTAGTCGTGCTTGTCCTCACAGTGATGGTAGTCGTGCTTGTCCTCACAGTGATGGTAGTCGTGCTTGTCCTCACAGTGATGGTAGTCGTGCTTGTCCTCACAGTGATGGTAGTCGTTGGTACTTGTCCTCACAGTGATGGTAGTCGTGCTTGTCCTCACAATGGTAGTCGCTTGTCCTCACAGTGATGGTAGTCGTGCTTGTCCTCACAGTGATGGTAGTCGTGCTTGTCCTCACAGTGATGGTAGTCGTGCTTGTCCTCACAGTGATGGTAGTCGTGCTTGTCCTCACAGTGATGGTAGTCGTGCTTGTCCTCACAGTGATGGTAGTCGTGCTTGTCCTCACAGTGATGGTAGTCGTGCTTGTCCTCACAGTGATGGTAGTCGTTCTTGTCCTCACAGTGATGGTAGTCGTGCTTGTCCTCACAGTGATGGTAGTCGTGCTTGTCCTCACAGTGATGGTAGTATTCTTGTCCTCACAGTGATGTATTCCTTGTCCTCACAGTGATGGTAGTCGTGCTTGTCCTCACAGTGATGGTAGTCGTGCTTGTCCTCCTGTGATGGTGGTTTGGTACTTGTCCTCACAGTGATGGTAGTCGTCCTCCTTGAAGTCGTCCTCACAGTATGGTAGTCGTGCTTGTCCTCACAGTGTGATGTAGTCGTGCTTTCCCTCACAGTGATGGTAGTCGTGCTTGTCCTCACAGTGATGGTAGTCGTGCTTGTCTCACAGTGATGGTAGTCGTGCTTGTCCTCACAGTGATGGTAGTCGTGCTTGTCCTCACAGTGATGGTAGTCGTGCTTGTCCTCACAGTGATGGTAGTCGTGCTTGTCCTCACAGTGATGGTAGTCGTGCTTGTCCTCACAGTGATGGTAGTCGTGCCTCACAGTGATGGTAGTCGTGCTTGTCCTCACAGTGATGGTAGTCGTGCTTGTCCTCACAGTGATGGTAGTCGAGGGAGATTCACTACAAAATATAACAATCCAGGTGAAGTAATGGTAATAAAAAACAAAATGCACTACAGGTAAAACTGAAGTTAAGAATAGTGCAGTTAGAACCATGATCACACAGGTAAAGGAACTACCGTACACTGTCTAACTCTGAACATAGGTAGGAATGGCGGTACAGGTGAGGGCAACACGGTAGAGTTCTAGGTATTTCTGAATACATAACAGAATTACAGTACTTTTATAAGTATTATAGAACAAGTAATAATATAATTCATTGCCTCGTTGGTTCCCTATAATAAATAACTCTCCCATTTCATTATAGGACTGAAACCCTACCCATACATTAATGATAAGTGTCTCAAACAAGCCACATAAACCATTCATAGTCAGAGAAAACGTATGATACTGCACGAAGAGAGAGTTGGTGATGGTAGTGAATGTAGCTGAATCAAGCAACTAAACTAGTAGGTCTTATAAGGAGGTCGTTTAGATATCTAGACGGTCCGTCCCTCGTAACGATATTCAAGAGTGAAGTGCTTCCCCGTCTGGAGTACTGTCACCCCGTCTGGTCCCCGAGATATGCTAGGGACGATCAGTTGGTTGAAAATGCCCTAAGGAGGGCCACTAGACTGGTTTTTGCACTATAGCACCTCAGCTACCCAGAAAGATAAGAACACGTGCAGTTGCCTATAAAGCCCAATGTCCAATACTACAGGCGGACGGACGAGGGGTGACTTAAATGAAGTTTATAAATATCTCAGAGGGCGTTACTTAGTCGGGTATTCATGCCTGGAGCTGACGGACGCCCGCCCCACAAGAGATCACAGCTCAAGAAGCCAGAATGAGTCCCTGGGTTGGGTTAGGTTTTGGTGAATTTGATATATGTATCATAAAGTCATCAGGTAGCGAGGCCTCAGGTGTAAACGCTGAGGAGGCTTCTTAGACTCGGCGATCTTCTTTCAGGAGACTGGAGACGTTGAGTCCAAGAGTAAACGCGTTATATAACTCGGCCTATTAACAGGTCATGTATTTAAGGTGACTTGTGTAACGAGTACTAGCTCTTATCTGTGTCTAAATCCTGATAGGCTCTAATTATAATAGGCACCAATTTTCAGTGGTTCTAATCCAATTATGCCCCAATAATAATGAGTAGGTAAGGTTAAGCTAAATTTCGGTAGGTTAGGTTATGTAAGGTTATTTTTTTTTTTACGGGGATTAGCCCACCCGGGCACAGGTCACTGACCCACATCGGGGCCTGGGGGGCGAAAAGAATAATAATAATAATAATAATAATAATAATAATAATAATAATAATAATAATAATAATAATAATAATAATAATAATAATAATAATAATAATAATATCAATATCAATATCAATATCAATAATAATAATAATAATAATAATAATAATAATAATAACAACAATAATAATAATAATAATAATAATAATAATAATAATAACAATAACAATAATAATAATAATAATAATAATAATAATAATAATAATAATAATAATAATAATAAATAAATACAAAAACGAAAAAATAAATCAAGAGAGAGGAACGATACACATTATGTATGTTGTGTTGTCCAAGTAAGAGAAACAATTGAGACCCAGCAATTGTGTGTAAATGAGGCAGAAAGTCAGATCAGCAACCAGGGACTTGGTCACAATTTTCGTGATGCCATATGGCAGCAGGGTCTACCATTAGACAACACATTATGCTTCCAATATCTTCCCAGGCGGTAGTACCTCCCTGTTTGGTTGCTGCTTACTGGAACCTATAGAATATGAATTTATTTTGACGAGGAACGAAGATTTTTATTGTTGATGTTGTAAAGTATAACTGAGCATCAACAACTTAGGCGGGCATTAGAGTTAAATAAATTCATCGATTAAACCATTGTCTTTAACGATCGTAAATCAATCGACCTTTTTTTAGAGTCGACTTTATTTACAAATATAATTTTTACAGATTGAACTATCCATTTGTTGTGAGAGCGTAACAAGTAGTTAGTAATAGAAGTAATTGAACAGTTAATCTTAGGTTGACTGTAGAGAACTACTTGATAGAGGAGAATACAGTCATTATGTTTATAACTGGCTTTCAACCTGTTAAAGATGGGCATTCAGTATCACTAGACAGCCGGGTATTATACAACTTGTGAATAAGATAAATAACTTTTGGTTGCACGGAGCCGATTTGGTCATGTAAGCGTGAACAGTGAACCGCAGCTTACGACGTGAAATAAAATGAAACCCCTATGATTTTTAAAGTTTACAATAGGTTAGGTTAGGTTGGGTTAGGTTAGGTTGGGTTGGGTTAGGTTGGGTTAGGTTGGGTTGGGTTAGGTTAGGTTAGGTACTGAGAGGACAGCCACAACCTTATCATTAACTACTCACCTGTAGACGTTAATTATTGTCCAGGAAGAATTATAGGTGTGACCAGAAGTAACAACGACACACACACACACACACACACACACAACACACACACACACACAAGCGCTCATGTGCCATAAATACTCTCTCTCTCTCTCTCTCTCTCTCTCTCTCTCTCTCTCTCTCTCTCTCTCTCTCTCTCTCTCTCTCTCTCTTTCACTATACCGCTGGACTAGTCTAATTTTATGAGGCCTCAAAGTTCTTGTTAAGTTCATTAAGCGACTCTCTTAACAGCTTGGTTGAAGGAGTGTAAGCGTCTTCCACTGTTGTTGTTGTTTTTGTTATTGTTGTTTTAGTGTTGTTTTTGTTATTGTTTTTGTGGGTGTTGCTGTTTTTGTTGTTTTTGTTATTGTTTTTGTGGGTGTTGCTGTTTTTGTTGCTGAGTTTTGTTGATTTTCTTGTTGCTGTTTTTGTTATTCTTGTTGTTGCTGTTTTTTATGTTTTTGTTCCTGTTATTGTTATCATTGCTGTTTTTTGTTGTTTGGAAAGTTATGTAGCAAAGATTTAGAACTTGATACATAATCAAAGGCCAATACAAACTCTGTAGTCAATAACTGAAACTTTTGTAATGTCCGTCTGTAACCTTTCTACCTAACTGGCGACTGGCAAGTATAAATTGACTGGTGTCGACTGGTACATTGCACCCACTCACCCTCAAGCTACTCGTAAAATATTCGTAACTGGTCCAGCACACACCAACACACATACACTTACCGACACTTAACCAAAGTGTAAGTGTCTCTCTACGCAACACTAACACAGAGTAAACAAAGTGACCTTCAAGTGACCCCCCCACCCCCCAGGCAAGCTTCAAGTGACCCCCCCACCCCCCAGGCACTTGAGGACTGCGGGAAGCTTACAAAAACAAACCAATATGTAAAAATACTGATTGTGAAAGAATGTTATTAGATATAAATACGATACTAAAGGTAATTACAGGGAAGAAAACGTAATTACTGCTATTAAAAAAAAAGTATATGAAATGGTGATCCTTATAAGTTATATGATCACAGTTACGCAAGATCCTAATATAAATAAAAGGATTAAAGAATATATATTAACAATCTCAGGTAATCGAGTCATTTATAAATAATAAAGGTATATCCTAACCTAATTAATTACGTACAGGTGTTCTCGTGGAATGACATTCTCAAGGTGTTGTATCTCTGTCAGGTGTTCCAGTAACGACGCTATGACAGTTGAAACAAATATACATTGTCTGTCTGTCTGTCTGTCTGTCTGTCACACACATCCTAGCACCAACAATAAGAGAACATATCCTCCAGTTAATACTAAAGTAGGATATTGAAGTAGGATCTCGTTATAGACAGGATATAAATGTCAAGATCCTATATTAACTATCAGACACAACAAGTATTAAGACTGGATCCTATATCAGATAACAAGCTCTGAAATTGGATCCTTCACCCTTTGAGAATTTGACCTTCCATCAAAAATATAACCCATTTTATTTTCGTTCAATGTCAGAGCTCTTGGCAGATGCTAATAATCTCTGATGTACCATTAATTCAGAAGCCAGGCAGATCGTCTCACCATTCATCTGATCACCCTAGTCCTAAGGCTGACGGTAGCTGACGTTGACTGACGGAGACTGACGAAGGTTCATTATAATTGATGGCGATTGACAGAAGTTGAGTGATAGAAGCTGAGAGTGACTGACAGAAGCTAAGAGTGACTTACGGAAGCTGAGAGTGACTGACGGAAGCTAAGAGTGACTGACAGAAGCTGAGAGTGACTGACTTAAGCTGAGAATAACTGACGAAGGCTAAGAGTGACTGACAGAAACTGAGAGTGACTGACAAAACACCATCACCTCTTGGTACCATCACCCTCAGTAGTACACTCAGATCACCGCCTATCTATAAATCTTCGTCAGGAGGGATCGTGGGAGTCATGACTGGCTACTTCACCACACCATAACGTCTTCACCTCACTCCTTCTGCCTCAGGAGCCTCTAAGACTCACCCTAGTGGCTGATAAGTGACTCAGGAGATTATATGTTGACGAGTCTGGTATGGGTTGTCATAA